GAATCTTAAGAGTATATTACTAAGTGGAAGAAGCCAGTCTGCAAAGGATACATAGACATGATTCTGTTAATGAGATGGTAAACAGATTGGGATCTGGACTGCTGTCCTCCTCTCCACACCAAATCCTTCCTCCTTGGGCGACTTCATCATCACTATGAATGAAGGTCCCGTGACCACTTCAACTCCAGTGGCTGTTACCCCTTCCACCTCAGTCACCTCCTCCTTCACGATTACCCAGGAATGCTCCACATCAGAAGCCTAAGTTCTGATCTTGGGCCACCACCTTTACATACAGTTCTTACCTTCTTGATCCCCCACCGTGCTGGACCTTCCCTCTCATCGTACTCTGGGGTCCCTGGCAGCCCTTTTCCTCTTAAGAAGACCAATCCCCTATCACTTGTCACTTTGGCCCCTTCTTTGCCAGTACCTTAAGTTTCCTTACCCCTTGGTCCTTCCAAAATACCTGCTTTGCCAACCTCTGGCTATGGATGGATACAACCATTTGCCCTCCTGTGGGCTTCCTCTCAGGCTGTGAAGTGCAACTAGAGAAAACCATCAACCCACATGCACTGGGGCCACTTGAAAAGTCACAATTTCTATGTCATTTGGGCCACTATCACTGCCCAAGAGTCCTTCTCTATTTCAATAAGCAGCTTTCTCTCCTTTACTATAAAGTAGCTTTTTCAAGCTTTCCCCAAACCCATTAATCTTCTCACCCCACTGCTTCCCCGTGACTCCCATTTTGCTGAGAAGAGAAGCTACAACCCTCCTTGCGCAGCACCTGTGAGTGGGCCTACGAGCACACCTTTCCTTTCTGCTGACTCACCTCTCACACTGGAGAGGCCTTGGCTTTTCCCACCTTCTCTGAGACTTTTCTTCATTAAGTATTCCTTCTCTCTCTTCATTTTTTTTTTTTTTTGGAGACAGGGTCTCTCTCTGTCTTCTGGGCTAGAGTGCGGTGGTGTCATCATAGCTCCCTGCAGCCTCCGACTCCTGGGCTCAACCGATCCTCCTGCCTCAGCCTCCTGGGTAGCTGGGACTACAGACACATACTACCACATCAGGTTAATTTTTATTTTTTTTTGAGACAGAGTCTCGCTTTATTGCCTGGGCTAGAGTGAGTGCCGTGGCATCAGCCTAGCTAGCAACCTCAAACTCCTGGGCTCAAGTGATCCTTCTGCCTCAGCCTCCCGAGTAGCTGGGACTACAGGCATGCGCCACCATGCCCGGCTAATTTTTTTTCTATGTATTTTTAGCTGTCCAGTTAATTTCTTTCTATTTTTGGTAGAGACAAGGTCTCGCTCTTGCCCAGGCTGGTCTCGAACTCCTGAGCTCAAACAATCCGCCCGCCTCGGCCTCCCAGAGTGCTAGGATTACAGGTGTGAGCCACCGCGCCCGGCCTAATTTTTATTTTTTTTTTGTAGAGATGAGATCTCGCTATTGGTAGGAACTCCTGGGCTGAAGCAATCCTCCTGCTTTGGCCACCCAAAGTGCTAGGATTACAGATATGAGCCACCACGCCAGCCTCTCTCTTCCTCTTTAACTTTTCCTGATTTACTAATTCCTTCCATTTAAAATATGAACATCCTTAAGGCTCTGCCCATTTAAAAGAAGGAACCTAGATCCACCTCCCTGACGCTCTTTGACCCCTCCAGCCACTCCCTTCTCCATCTTTCTCCTTTGGAGCCACGGCTGTAAGAATCACTCACACTGCTCTCTCCATGGCCTCACATCTCCTGCCACCTAGCCTATTCCTGCTGCAGTCACCAGCAAGCCTTGCTGCTAAATTCAAAGGACTCCTTTTCAGCCCCCTCTTGGTTGACCCATTCTGTAGCATTCCCTCACTCCCAAACCACTGATGTCCAGACACTGCCCTTTCTGTGCACCCCTCCCATTCCCAGACTGCTCCTTTCTCTTAGCTCCCTGGACTTTGTTACATAAGCCATTAAGCTCTCATTGTGCTTAAGCAAGTTTGAGTTGGGGTTTTCAGTCGTTAGGAATTATATATATGAGTCCATGAGAAAAGCTGGACACATTTGGCCCCTGTCCAGTTTCAGTTAATATATTAGGGTCCTGAGACCTAGAGAGAGGAAGGGACTTGCAAAGGGCCTTTAAAGCAAATTAGCAGCAAAGCCTGAACTAGAACCAAGTTTCTTCTGATTCCCCCTTCCTCTTTTCCAAAATTTTTAGCATCTTCAGGACACAATCCTGACCCTAAAGCCTGCAATTAGACCCAAGCCTCTTAGTCTGGCCTTAACCTTCCTTAGCTCATGGATCCCACCACTCTACACCCTTTTTTAAGCTAACATGAATTGTTTACTATGTGTCAGGTACTGAGATAAACTTTTTACATTCTCATTTAGTCTTCAAAAACCACTTGAAATGATTCTTCCTGTTTTATACATGATGAGGATGAGGGTCAGAGGCTACAAGTCAACCCAAGATCAAACAGCTAATACCTTGTAGAGCTAAGACTCAAACCCAGGCCTGTTTGTTTCTCTGAGACCACAGCTTCTTAGCCTGTTGTCCACAGACCTCTAAAGTGCCCATGCACAAACTTCAGCACGGCAGTCCTAAAATTAATTGCAAATTTATATATCTGTGCATTTTTCTGGGAGCACATTCATATATGATATTGTCCGATTCTCAAAAGAACCCATGACCCCAGAAAGATTGAGAACTGTGTGCTGTATAGTGAACTGTGTGGGGTCAAGACACAGGCCTGGCACATAACAGATCTTTGGTGAACTTGGCTGAGCTCTGCCATCTCAGCCACTCTGTAAACAAATCCTAAGGGACTCAGACCCCACAGAGAAGCAGACCAGCCCCAGGGGCTGACCAGGACACTACCCACTGTGGTTCGGCCACAGGGAACCACAAATCCCCTGGCGATCTACTTCTAATCAACTGATCTTCACATTTCCCTTTTCTTCCCCCGAAACATTTAGGTGCTTACTACATGCCAGACGCCATGCTAAAGATCTTCATGTATCATTTCATTTAATCTTCATAACAATTGTACAAGGAGAGTACTATTAATCCTCTCAGTTACAGACAAGGAAACTGAGGCTCAGAGAGGTCATTGCTTTATCTGGAGTCTGATGAGGAGTCTTGTTCTCATGTATGAAAGTTCTGCCAGGAAGGGACACCACTAAGTTCATCTCAAAGAAAGCAGCCTCAATGGCTGACCAGCCCTGGCCTCTGGCCAGTTTTTAAACCAGAGCTGCCAGGCTATGTCCAGGAGCCGCTCGCTCTCAGAGTGGCTCATGGGCCAGCAGGAAGACCATTTCCCAGAGTATTCTGTTTGAAAAAATGCAACTTCACTTCTGGCTCATTTCACCACTTAGTCTGAGCTGGACACGATGCAATTGTTCACAGCACAAGCTACACTGCCTTTGCCAAGCTGACCTGGCATCCACATGCAAAGCAGATTACATCAGAGCCCCCAACAGCCCTTCCTCCGGGAGCTCTGTGGCTGGTCGGAGGTGGGGACTGAGTTGGCTCCCAGTCAAATAGTTTTGTTAAGGAAAACATGAATCCCCTGGTAGTTTGTGCATACTTTTTTTTTTAAAGACTAAGCTCAGTTGAAAAGGAAAAGATGTTCGCAAGAAAGAAAAAAGAAGCAAAAGGCTCTGGAACTTCTCTTTTCAAAACAAAGCATGTGCCACTCCTACTTCAGATGCATCTAGGCCTTTCTTGGCTCCTATTGCATCTCCTCAAACAACAGTAATGCTAATTCCAACCTCGATCCTCACCCTACAAGCTGGTGCCTCTCTGAGGATCCAGCTGTGTCCGAGGCTGGAGAAGCCTGGGGAAGCTGAGCAATAGTGATGCGCAGGCCAGGCATTTCCGAGAGGGAAGCTCAGCTGGAAAGAAGGCCCAGAGGGAACCCAGGCTGCATCACCCAGAGGGCCAGTCACGCACACTCTGCAACCTCTAGGCCACTGTCCTCATTTGAAACCAGAAAAACAAGAATGAAGAAGAAAAACTGCCAACAGCACAATCTAGGGTTTTGGTTTATCCAAAGGGTGTCTTGCATGGTGCTTCCTACTGAACATCATGTTCTGGCGGGTCTGACTGAGAACTAAGAAGCCCCACCCACCTCATTTGGTCCAAGTCTTCAATCATTATTCCAATAAATGGGGACTCGGATCTGCAAACCTGGGGCAAAGGTTCTGGCTGGACCAAGTCAGTCTGAAGTAGCATGGGGCCAGTGACTAGACCATCAGGGATTCAAAGATATTCAATCTGAGAAGTATTTTCTGAGTAGCTCATTCACTCATTCCACATATATTGACTGAGGGTCTGACACTGGGCAAGGTGGTGGGGGACACAGTGATGAACAAGACAGACATGGTACCTGACCTCATGGAGTTCACAGAGTGGCAAGGAAGGTGGAGACCACAAAATTACACAAAATGAGGACAGATAAACAAAGGGTCACACAGAGAAGCAAAGGGTACAGTGTGGGAATGTATGGCAAGATGCCTCATACAGCTGGGGATTCAGGGAAGGCTCCCGAAGAAGTCACATTTAGGCTGAGGTCTGATTGGGAGTTGAATAGGGAGGAAGAATTCTGGGCCGAGAGGACAGCACATATAGGAGCCTGACAGGACAGGAAGAAGGTACATGAGGCAAGGGAAAGGAGGCCAGGATAACCAAAGCCTGAAGAGGGAGGAGGAGAAATAAGACATGAGGCTGGAGGAATGGACAGAAGCTAGATCCACCATGCAGGACCTTGCAGAGCACCTTAAGGTGCTTGAACCTTAGCATCAGTGGAATTGGAAGCCCCCAAAGTGATTTAAGCACAGGAAAGGTGTGTTCAGTTCCACCTGCCTTGAGAAAATGGACTGTAATGGCACCAGAGTAGATAAAGGTGGGGGATTTAGGAAGCAGGGCTGGACCTGCAGAAGCCTGGGACCGAGCCCTGGTGGGACTTCCAGCCTATGGGGGATGGCACACTGCCATCTGGACAGGCACATGCAAGGGGCGTTGCTCACCTGGTTAAACCTCCGGGTAAAGGCCACGACGTTGGGGGCGAGACTGTGTTTCTCCTTCTTACTCCATCCACAGCTGGCTAGTTCCTAGGAAGCACAGAGTCAGTTTCAACAGTGATTCTAGTCAGGATGCAAAATACACTATTCATGTCTTCACCAGGTAGGAGGGGAGGGCTGGGTTTGCAGGTGAAGGTGCAGTCATGTGGGTGGGTGTGGAGGTGGGGAGGGGTGAAGTCTTGGCTATTCATGTCTTCACCAGGTAGGAGGGGAGGGCTGGGTTTGCAGGTGAAGGTGCAGTCATGTGGGTGGGTGTGGAGGTGGGGAGGGGTGAAGTCTTGGCTATTCATGTCTTCACCAGGTAGGAGGGGAGGGCTGGGTTTGCAGGTGAAGGTACAGTCTGGGACTGCCAGAAGAGAGGATGAGAAGTGGGATACTTTTCCCCACAACTCTGGCCACATTTCCTGGGATTTCTGTGCCAAAATATTCTTAACCCCACTCCTTCCACTCTGCCAGCCTCTCTAAGCCCAGAAGTCCTTTCCTACAAGGCAAATCATCTGAGAGAGGGCAGAAATGTTTTATTCAGCAGGATGCATCCCCCCATAGTTGTGACTCCACCATTCCAGGCTAACAGAAAAATAAAATCTAGCTAAAAAATCTCAGATTTCATTGGCCACATGACATCCTCCATTCCAGGAGTCAAGCAAAGTGCCAGTCCAAGCACACCTGCAAGCAGAGAAGTTTCTCGGATTACCTTGGGTTCCTTCCTAAAGTCGGCCCACCCACCTCTCATATAACAAAGCGGGGCAGAGGAAAGGTTCCCTTTAACATCTTGTTCAGGGGCCTAGTCTCTTCTTTTCCAGTAGGTTTAGGTAATTTGATTCCTCCTGCAAGTGAGGCCGGTTCTTATCCCAGGGATGAAAGCTGGACTAATAGGAGCAACCTAATGGTGTTACTTGGTGGGACATAAAAGGACCAAGGAAAAGCCATTATCCAAGTGCCCAGCGTTCTTAGCTTACGTCTTGAGAAGCCCTGACAGGGAATGGAGGCGATGCAGTAGACTCTAAAGTACCCCACTCCTAAGTTAAAGGACTCCCTTTTCATTCATATCAGGCCTCAGTATTATTAACTTTTATTTTTTTGCTGCACACCTGGAACTTTCATAAAGTCTTTAGTGAGATTCGGCCACCCACCAGCTGAAACAGGCGCGGATCTGGGGGATGCAGGGCAGTCAGGGAGGGCAGTGGAAGGGCCAAGGACAAAACCTGCCAGCGGGCAGCTATGTCTGAAGTGCCTGTGAAATGCACCCGGGACCCAGCTACAGGCCACAGACAGGAGCTGGAGGGCAGCCTGGCTGAAGGTAACGGGCCGCTCTGGTCACAGGATGAGTGCCCTGGACTTGGAATGCCTGGAACCAACCGGAGCCAAGAAACACCTCCCTCCAGTCACCCGCTTCTCTGAATGGCAGCACTGTCCCGGCAGTCATCTCCACAAGAGAACACAACCAAACTGGAGCAGGCCACACTCTTTACACCCTCCCTGTTTAGACCACAGGCAATAGCAATGACAACAATATTCACTAATGCAGCCATTTGACCAGAATCCCCCACATGGCAGGCGATGGACAGGGTGCTTCACGTGTGTCATCTCACGTAATTCTCCCCACATCCATTTTAGCAAAGAAGAAAAGAGCTCCGGGCTCATTCTCTTGAATGAATACTAACTCTGCTTCTTTTCCTTTCTTCTGTTCTCTTTTCTTTTTTTGAGGTAGAGTCTCCCTCTATCACCCAGGCTAGAGTGCAGTGGCATCATCATAGCTCACTGCAACCTCCAACTCCTGGGCTCAAGCGATCCTCCTGCCTCAGCCTCCCAGGTAGCTGGGAACACAGGCATGCGCCACCACGCTTGGCTAATTTTTTCTGTTTCTGGTAGAGATGGGGTCTTGCTCTTGCTCTGGATGATCTCAAGTGATCCTCCTACCTTGGCCTCCCAGAGTACTAGGAACCACTTCTTTTCAAAAGCAGACAGAAATCTCTGAGATGCAGAATTTACCTGTTTACTATGATTCTCCTTGTTCTAAGTGTGTATTTGCGATTGGTTTCAAATGTGTGTTTGACCTACCTCAGTTACATTTACTACCCTTTCAAACACATATATGAATTGCTTTGCAAATGTACATTATCGCCCTTTCAAATTTTGTGATGACAATGGCTTCTCTCCCCACTGGATCCCAAATCCAGTCCTGGAAAAGTATGGGTTATAATCGAATATAAAACCTAATTCATAAAACTGATGTTCAAGGACTGAGGCATGGTTGTTGCCCAATTCAGGCTATTTGTTCCCTTTGTATCTTTCCTAAATTTTTTAATAAACATTAGGGGTGTGTGTGTGTGTGTTTGTGTATTTAATTCAGAGTCTGTGGTCCTATTTCCACATTGTAATAACTTAGGAAGACACCTGGAAAGGGAGCAGTGGGGACCCCACAGACACACCTGGGTCAGACCCTGGCTGGCTGTCTACACATGGCTGCATGATGCTTATCTTCTCAGAACTTCCATTTTCTCATCATTTTAAGAGTATAATACCATATCTGTGAAGCTCATTATAACAATTAAATGAAATTAAAACACGCAAAGCACCTAGCACGTGCCGGCTCCTTGATAAAGGTTATCTGCCTTCCTCTTTCCAGGGGCACACTGCTATTAAGCGACAAAAGCAGTATTCACACTCAGCTCTAACTCCAAACACCTTCTTCTTTTTCCCACATCACACTCTGATTGCTGCCTTGAATTATTAACAAAATTCATTATTATTTCTCTTCATTTTGCTGATGTCATGCAGGCAGGAAACAAAGCAGGTACTTAATACATCTGCCCCAAATTTACTTGGTTTGAACATTTCCCAGACCCTGATTCAAAAAATGTGTGTGTAGTTCTTGGATTTTGACAATTCTGTGAATGAATGAAGTGTGAATGTTCCTCAGTGTGCAAACCTCCCAAATTCAGAGCAGAGAAATTTTATCAAGATGTGAGAAGAAACGAGATCATTCTATCTGTAACAAAACAAGTAACTGGGCCCAACCTCTTTGGTGCTGTTCCTCTTCTGTGTTTGGCCTTACAGGATTACAAGAGATTCCATCTGTGTGAAGTGAGTTTAGGAAAATGTGAAGTAATAGAACAAAACTCTTCCAGTCACTAACGCTTTAAAAAAGTCCATGCTATGGAACTGATTTGAATGTAATTAAGTTAAAATTGACCAGAGAAGACAAGGCTGGTTCTAGAAGGGAGACAAAGGTTTGGGCTGAGGCCAGGAAGGCCCTGGTAGCTCTGCGTCCTTGGTGCACCACTGAGCTGCCTGTGGGCTGCACACACCCCCTCCCTCCAAGGGCGCTGGGGACCTCATCTCGCCCAGGCAGTCCTTGGCTCTGACTTCTCAGCTGAGGTCGCCTGGATCTGAGAGGGGACTGAGCCTGTACAGTCCCTTGCCAGCTTCTTCTGGGACCTCTCCTCTGTCACGTGGATGTTCCCGGGTTCATCAGGGAAAAACAAGCTGTGAGAATAAAATTTCCTGCCACCAAACTTACACATTTCCCTGCATCCTCTCCCTCCCTCTGGCTTTAATGGGAGAGGGGCCGTTTCCTTTCCAGGAAATCCCACACCAATCCCAATCCCACACCCCGCCTTCTTGGAGGCCTGGCTCTGATGCCCTCTGTATCTTCAACCTCTTCCTCCCCAAGTTCTCCTTCCTGCTAGCACTTTAATGTGCATAAGCCTCTCCCATTAATAACAACAGTGATGATGAAAAGACACCTCTCCTAGAGCCCCATTCCCTCCAGCTCCTGCTCACTCCTGCTTCCCCCTCCTACCTGCCTCCCTGCCCCCTGGCCCCTGCAACTGCCCTTCGCAGGCCCTCTTGGGCCCCGGCCATATCTGTCACCCACTGTCCTCGCCTTTGCACATTGTGTTTTCCCAGCTGTCTTCCCACCTCTTGGGCCCCTCATTCTCAGCCTTATTTTCCAGCTGCTTCTTTCTTTTCTGATACATCCCTCCCAACCTCCCCCAAATCTGACCAAGGTCTTCTGCATTCTTTGACGTCTATATTTCTCCCTGGAAGATCACACGTTCTGACTGCATGTGCACACCTGCGCCAGCCCATTTCCTGAGCTCCAGACCAGGATGTCCAGCTACCTCCTGGCCACGCCATCTTTGGCATCCCACAGGCACCTCAAAATCAGCAAGCCCAGAACCAAAAGCGTGTCTGACCAGCTGCCTTAAATCAAACACACATAACAATGTGCGGTTCATTTTAGACATTCACTCTGACAGTCAGAGGAGAATGTTTATCATAAAGACACCATGGAAAAAATCCCTAACTGGTGCAAGAACAACTCTGTCTTAATACCCCCACCTGCAAGCATTCCTGGGTGGCAGCGAGCGTCAACGCTGGTTTCGGCTCACCCTGCAAAGCTCCTCTGGGCCACACGGCCAGGAGGCCACCTCCACCAGCTGTCAGCTTTGTGCTTAGAGTCTGGGAGTCAGATGCCTTGAGGTGGCCTGAGAAACACCTCATCCCAACCATTCTGGAGTCCATGAGATGAAACTCTAGAAGAGGAGACGTGGGGAGTGGAGACAAGTCCTCCCTGAAGACCCACAGCATCTAGGCCACCAGGTCACAGGAAGCTGGTGCCGACACATGGGCCTTTCACATGTGTGCTTAATTCTCACTGCAGTCTTCTCCAAATCACGTTCATCAAATATGTCCATGTGGAAAATGTATTGCCTTAAGGAAAAGCCACTAAATCAGACCTCAGAGACCACCACCAGGCTGGCACCAGCCAACAACACCATGTCACCTCTGTGCTCAATGGCAACATTTTCTCCTTCCTCCTCCCTCCATGTTCTCCCCATTCCTCCTGCCCCACCCTCTGGCAGGAAAAAGAAAAAGGGAAGAACTGCCAGATTTGCTTATGAACAATCTTCAGAAGAACTGGTGGGAAAATTACACACTTAACCAAAGGAGTTCTAAAACACCTCAGGGAGGAGGTGGCCCCTCGAGGCAATTGGGGAGATGGTGTCAGTTTGGGGTAGGGG